GGAGTTTGATGGCGGAGGTCACTGCTTTGGAGATTAAGAGGGCAGTGTTCGGTATTGGAGCTATGCAGGCACCAGGTTCTGACGGGTTCACGGGGAAGTTTTACCGTAGTTATTGGGACATTGTGGGTCCGGATGTGATAGAAGCAGTCCAGTCGTTTTTCCGATCTGGTAGACTTTTGAAAAGCTTCAACCATACTTGGTTGACGTTGGTACCAAAGATAGAAGTGGTTGAAACTATGAAACACGGCAGGGAGACCCTTTGTCTCCATTATTATTTGCTATATGCTCTGAAGGTTTTGCGGCGCTAATTAGAAAGGCGTTACAGGAGAATAGGTTAGTCGGGGTCAAAGTTAATCCGCAGAGTCCAAGTGTGTCTCATCTTTTCTTTGCGGATGACTCTTACCTGTTCTTCAGGGCATCCAAACGGGAATGTGAGACGCTGCTTAGCCTGCTGCGGGAATACTAGGAATTGAGTGGCCAGAAGGTGAATTTGAGTAAATCCGCAGTGTGTTTTAGTGAGAATGTGGATCCTCCGGATGCAGCGGAGATGGCGGCCATTTTAGGAGTAGGGGCGATCGGTGTTCAGGATAAATACTTAGGATTGCCGTCTCTAGTTCAGAGATCGAAGTTGGAAACGTTTCGCTATTTGGAGGAGAGATTATTGGCTAAGCTCCAGGGGTGGAAGCAGAAGAAATTATCCTGGGCGGCGAAGGAGGTGCTCCTAAAGGCGGTCGCTGCAGCACTCCCGATCTATGTCATGTCTTGCTTTCTATTACCGGTGACTCTGTGCCGCAAGCTGGATAAGCACATGGCGCGATTTTGGTGGGGATTTGCGGGAGAAAAGGACAAGGCTCACTGGGTTTCTTGGCGTAACTTATGTCGGAGTAAATTTGATGGTGGTTTGGGATTTAGGAGGTTCGAGGACTTTAACCAGGCTCTGTTGGCAAAGGTAGCATGGATAATTTGGCAGGAGCCGGAATCGCTTCTGGCAAGGGTGTTGAAAGGTAAGTACTTCCCACAGAAGTCTATTCTTTCAGCGACTCGTAGATCGAGACCATCTTGGGGGTGGATTAGTATTCTCCATGGCAAGGATTTGCTTGTTAAGGGTCTTAGATGGCAGGTTGGGGAAGGATCTCAGGTTAGCATTATGGAGGATAACTGGATTCCGGGAATTGGGCCGGAGGCAATTGAGCTAAAGGCTTCGGCGCCAGACTTGACAGGGGCGACAGTAGACTCGTTGCTCATCCCTGGGAAGGGTGAATGGTGTTTGGAGTGTTTAAATCAATGCTTCCCTCGGCCGGTTGTGCAGGCTATTCAGGCTATAGCGTTGCCAAAGGGTGAGGTGGTGGATTGCCAAGTCTGGTCAAGTGAAGGGGATGGGGAGTATACGGTGAAGTCAGGATATCATTTGGCTTTCCAGAATGCTAAAAGGAATCAAGAGTGGAAGGCTGAGGTTTCCTTTTTCGATATGTCGTGTTGGAAGAAGATGTGGGGGCTTCCCATTCCTCCGAAATTGAAGAGTTTTCTTTGGCAATGCATGAAGCGGATACTTCCTACTATGGAAACTATAATTGAGAGGACAGGTAGAGTTCCTGAGGATATTGACCCTGATCCTGGGATGGATGGGCAGGGAGTAGTGATTGATCCCAAGTGTCCGGTGTGTTGGGAGCCGGTAGAGACATTAGAGCATATGTTTCTTTCGTGTCGGATGGCACTGGTGCTATGGGAGAGGTCGGGGGTTGGGGACAGATATGGTGAGGCAACCTCCTTTGAATTTTGCTTTGTTTCTTCGCAGATTTTTTGAGCACGAGACCAATGTAGAGAGGATAATTCGGTTTGTGGCATTGCTGTGGAGGATCTGGAAAAGTCGGAACTGGGTAGTGTTTGATCAGGTTCAGTACGGGGTGAGTGCGTTGGTGAGACAATTTGAGGAGCAAGTTCGTGAGTGGTTGGCCTTGATTGAGTCTGGTGCTAGTAGGCAGGTGCAGGTGCAGCAAGTGAGGGGGCAGGCTGGCGTGGGGTGGGGTCCGCAGCCTGCTATGCCGTACCGCTGCTATGTGGATGGTGCTGTTCTTGCTGGGTCGCATGGGGCTGAGGGTTTGGTGGTGTATGATGGGGTGGGTAGGATGTGTTTTGTTCAAGGTTTTCGTTATGCAGGTTTGGAGGATCCTTTTCTGGTTGAGTTGGTGGCTTTTCGTGATGCAATTCAGTGGTGCTCTTTGAAGGGTCTAGTTGAAGTGCAATTCTACGGGGATGCGAAGGCCGTCATTGGCAAAATTCAGGCTAGGGATACTCGGGATGTGAAAGGAGGTCGGATTCTTGAAGAAATTCGGAAGCTTTGGCATCTATACCTGCGCTTCGAGGTGGCTTTTATTGGCAGGAGTAACAATCGGGTGGCCCATGAGGTGGCTAGGAAGACCCTTTCTTTTTTGCCTGCAGTTGTAGATACTTTTGATTTTTTTCGTTGGTTTGCGTTTGAGATGTAAACTTTTCTAGCTGTTTGCCTTGGTAATACAAGTGATCTATTGGTAAAAAAAAAAGAAGTTGTATCAAAGGTTCCAAATTTATCGATACACACGAATATTTAAGAAAATCTCCGCCCCTTCTCTTCCCGCACATTCAAGTCACTACCGCCCCATGCAGTTGTTCCTTTATACGTAATTAAACCGTAAACTCAAAAGGCAAAAGCCTAACATTTAATCGTGTTGTTAGTTGTTACTATGGATTACTAAACCGTAAACCCAAAAAGCAAAAGCCTAACATTTAATCCGGTGGGATGGTAATTTTAAACTCAGGTAGGGAGGTTCTCTATGTACAAGGAGCCCAGTTCTTGGGTATGGATGAACCTGTTGTGGTAGAACTGCTCTCACTTAGGGAGGCAATTTTGGGATGTATTAGTCACGGGTTAACAGAGGTGAGGTTTGAAGGAGACGCAAAGATTATCATTGACAAAATCAATCAAGCGGATTCCAGGGATAGCCGGATGGGAGCGGTTCTCGAAGAAGTTATTCAATATTTTGCTGCTCATCCTGGATTTTCGATTAGATTTGTAGGTAGGAGGAACAATAGGGTAGCCCATTTGGTGGCTCGCAAAGCCCTTTCTTTGTACGCTGCTACAAGTCGGTTCTTCAACTTTCAAGTCTGGCTTAATTCCAGGATGTAACTATTTTTTTATCAATCTATGCTATTATCTTTTGTAAAAAAAAAGGGTTAAAGACACATTTGGTCACTGAGATTACAAAATCGGGACATGTTTAGTCACTAGAAAAATTTAATATCAAATTTGGTCACTACAATTACTAAAACTGGACGCATTTAGTCACTCGCCGTTAGTCTCCGTCCAACTCCGTTAATGAAGTCCGTTAAGTGCTGATGTGGCAAACAGAATTGCCTAATCAGCCGGATATTAACCCAACAAAAATAAAACACGACCCGCCACGTCATTATAACCCGCCACCTCATTAAAACCAACCCAACCCAACCCATCACCCAACCCTACCCAACCCTTCTTCCTCCTTCCTCCCCAACCCAATTTAGGGTTTTCCCCATTAATCTGCCGGCCGCCCTTCCTTCATCTTCTTGAGGAATGTGGCGGTGCCGGCTCGGAGCTCGGTGGTGAAGCAAGTGTTCCGCTCATCGAGTTTGAATTGCTTCCCGACTCTGCTTCCGGCCACGTAGTTGTTCAGTCGAGTTAAAATGGCCGACTCTGCTGCAATGGCGGAAACCCCCAGATCGCAGCAGACGGCCTTGTCGCAGGTGGCCGACGCGTTCGAGGAGCTGGCTTGGGGGTTAGGGTTTGGGATTTGGTTGTGGTGGGTGATTTGGAGGTGGTTTTGTTTTTGGGGGAAGTTGATTGCTTGATTGATGGATCTGAAACTAGGGTTTTGATTTTGGTGGGTGTGGGAGTGGAAGTGGAATTGAGCTGCTGCTTCTTGTCTTTCTTCTTGAGGAGCTGAGCAGTATCAGCTGTGGAATTGGTGGGCTTCTTCTTCGTGGTGAGTAGAGAATCGCTACTGCTGCTGGCCTTGGACTTGGTGGGTGATGTTGATTTAGTAGAGTTGGAGGATTTGGTGGTAATAAGTTTGGTCTGGTTCTTCTTACCACTCGAAGAAGAAGAAGAAGACAGAGTATCTCCGATAGCAGCAGAGTTGGTAGTATTCTTGGTGAGTTTCATGGTCTGATTCTTGTTAGCAGAGGGAATGGTAGATTTAGAAAGCTTGGTGCTTGGTGTTGCTTGTGATGATGATAGGCTGCTGCTGCTGCTCTTTTTCTTGGGCAGTTGTGGTTGCTCATCGTCGTCATCGCTGTCTAAGGAAGAGGCAGAGAGGAAGAGGGGGGAGGTGAACAAGAAGAAGAAGAAGGAGAGCAAGAGTAGCTTCCTGAATCTTCACCACCGAGCTCCGAGCCGGCACCGCCACATTCCTCAAGAAGATGAAGGAAGGGCGGCCGGCAGATTAATGGGGAAAACCCTAAATTGGGTTGGGGAGGAAGGAGGAAGAAGGGTTGGGTAGGGTTGGGTGATGGGTTGGGTTGGGTTGGTTTTAATGAGGTGGCGGGTTATAATGACGTGGCGGGTCGGGTTTTATTTTTGTTGGGTTAATATCCGGCTGATTAGGCAATTCTGTTTGCCACATCAGCACTTAACGGACTTCATTAACGGAGTTGGACGGAGACTAACGGCGAGTGACTAAATGCGTCCAGTTTTAGTAATTGTAGTGACCAAATTTGATATTAAATTTTTCTAATGACTAAACATGTCCCAATTTTGTAATCTCAGTGACCAAATGTGTCTTTAACCCTAAAAAAAAAACCATGAATTACTAGACCAAAAACGATACGATTGTGACAGCGAAGTCATGCCGGCCGATTTTCCCGGTTAAACCAGACAGGGCCGAAATTTCGTTCGGTTTTGTTAATACCGTCGGTCCCCTGCTTACAAGAAACGTTTCCGTTTTATCATTTATGTAACGAAAAGGAGAGGGGGGGGGGGGGGGGGGGGAACAAAATTGGCGTCCAAAGGCCAAAGCAATGTAGCAAACCCTAATCCTTATATCAAATCAGAGGAAGACGTCGGGTCTCCAAGTCCAGACTCCAGAGCGGCAGACGCAGAACTCCAACCCCGCCGCTCCTCTCGTCCTCTCCGGTCTCCCTCGTTCCGAAGGGAAGGTCGCCATCTCTTGGTTCTTCTCTCCATTCCCGTGCAACCAAATTTTGGCTGCAATTTGTCGATCGATCAACGACCATGTCGTCGTCGGAGCAGGCCCCCCCGCCGCCATCAGAGGAGTTGAACTCACTCTCCGTTAACTCCGGCACCGAATTGAATGCTTCCGCCTCCAACTCCCGGTTAGCTGTCTCATACCCTCCTCCTCGTTTTTATTGCTTGGCCCGTTTTCTCAATTGGTTGAGACATAGTCTGCCTTCCTTATTGTCCTCTACTCGCGACCTGTATGGTTTCCAGGGAGTTGACTCCAGAGGAGAAGTTTCGGATTGTGAGAAGCGTGGGCGAAGAATGTATTCAAGAGGATGAGCTTCTCAATCTTCTAACGAAGAAACCCCAGCCGATTTGTTACGACGGATTCGAGCCTTCCGGCAGAATGCACATCGCCCAGGTACTCTTAACTGTTCAAAGTATTATTATTGGGCAGGTTTCTTCTCTTTGCCAAGCAATGTCCGAAACTACCAACTTTTTATGGTTCGTAATTTTGCTCTCTTTTCATTCTGTTGGTTTGTTGGATAGGGAGTGATGAAGACTATCAATGTCAACAAACTGACATCTGCTGGTTGCAAAGTGAAGATTTGGATTGCGGATTGGTTTGCCCAGCTTAATAACAAAATGGGTGGCGACCTGAAGAAGATACGGGTTGTTGGGGAGTACTTGATTGAGATATGGAAGTCTGTTGGAATGGATCTCGAAAGTGGGAATGTTGAGTTCCTCTGGTCTTCAGATGAAATTAACTCCCGTGCTGCTGAGTACTGGCCGCTTGTTATGGATATTGCTCGCAGGAACAAGGTTCCTAGAATAATGAGGTAATCCAATGCTCAAAGTTTCATGCCCTCTTCTCAATTCAACTAATTGTATGGCAAAGTTTAGAAATAAGCCTCTGTTGCTGATTAAACTCTTTGGTTCCTTAGGTGTGTTCAAATTATGGGTCGCTCTGAGAAGGACGAGTTGACAGCTGCTCAAATTCTGTACCCGTGTATGCAATGTGCCGACATATTTTTCCTCAAGGTGCTTTACTTTATCTGTAGGTTGAATCATTACTCTTTATGGATCCATTTGGTTGTTTTTATCAAGCCGTGGTGGTTCTGTTTTTGTTGGTACCATCGAGATGGAATGAACTTGTCTTTTTCTATGAAAGAAAAATCTTAGTCAAGTTTAATAAGGGAATATAAGAGTTTTTTTCAGTACCATAGTAGGCAGCGGCTTCACTGAATCTCCTTAGTTATCTCTGTAGTCTATACTAATGGTTTGCTTCATTACAATGTCAATGATACAATTCCATCACCTTCACTTGCTTCACTGATTTATTATTCTATATGAATCTCTAGGTTATCTATCAAATGTTGACAATTTAGATCTTGTAGTTGGTACCATTTGAATGGAGTAAACTTCTTGTTTTTATTTTCCGGTGCTACAACATCCTCTTTTTTATGGCATCTTTAAGCAATGTTCTTTATCTTTACATGTATCAGATTATATGCTATTAGATCTGTGGCATTCAGAATTTAGTGGTTTAATTGGCTTTATCATGCAGGCTGATATTTGTCAACTAGGAACGGATCAACGCAAAGTGAATATGCTGGCAAGAGAATACTGTGATGATATCAAGAGGAAAAACAAGCCCATCATCTTGTCCCACCGTCAGCTCCTTGTTCCTTTCTGAAATTAAGTTTCCATGAAAATAGTTGCATATTTTCATTGTTCCTGAACTCTTATTGTCCTGGTTGCTCTGCTGTCAATGCAGACATGTTACCTGGTTTACAGGAAGGACAAGAGAAGATGTCAAAAAGTGATCCCTCCTCTGCGATTTACATGGAGGACAGTGAGGTAATCTAGCTGCCTTAAGCTTAAAAGCTTTTATATAAGAGAAGCAGGTGATACATGAGTATTGGAGTGATCAATTATTTTTCCCACGTTTTGATAGGGAGAAGTAAATGTCAAGATAAAGAAGGCTTTCTGTCCTCCTAAGGTTGTTGAAAATAATCCTTGCCTGGAGTACATCAAATACATAGTTTTGCCTTGGTTTAATGAATTCAAGGTGGAACGCGCTCCACAAAATGGCGGAGATAAGTAAGTGCCGCCATTACGCTTAAGGTTTTCTGCAATCTTAATCCAGATTCTGTGTTGTTGACTAGGATGACCATTCTGGAGTTGGCTGCTGCCCTAGTTTGTGCTTTGGATCCTGTTATTATGATGAATGAGTGGTGTCTTGTATTATTGTCTCGCAGGACCTTCACAACAATTGAAGACCTTGAGGCTGACTATGCCAGTGGAGCGTTGCATCCTGGTGACCTGAAACCTTCTTTGTCAAAAGCCTTGAACAAGATCCTGCAGGTTAGCCCTTCACGTTTCTGATTCCTCCCTCACTGGTACTACTGAACAATAAGAAGTCGCACTGTGGCCGGCACCTCAATTTTGTGTTTTTTCCCAGCCTGTTCGTGATCATTTCGCCAACAATGCAAAAGCCAAGGATCTCGTTAAACGTGTCAAGGTTTGTCTTATTTCCCTCCCATCGGCAACATCTGATATTCCAAGCAATTGCTTGAAACAATCTGGAGGTAATATCAATCTGACATAGAATGTCAATGTTTCTGTGTTTGCCAAAATATGCAGAGCTACCAAGTAACTAGATAATGTGGGGAAGAATGAGGAAGAATCTCTGCAATCTGGTGATCAAACATATAGTCTGGAGTCATCCTATGCGACTAGCAATATGATTTTAGTAGATAAGGCAATCCAAGTTTGAGCTGGTTATCGTTATGATGATAGCAGCTTATTAAGTCCATTTTGATTCATGCTTTCGAAGGACTAAATTAGAATTTACAGTGACACCCTAGCTTTAGGATCAAGCAGACGTTTGCTGTTCTGTTTCTGCATTCACTCAAACTGCACAATAGCCCCTTATTTTATTCTCAGTATTTATGCATTTGGATTTATACTTGGTGTTGGGTATATATGCAATTTGTTTCGAGGGGAGACTTTGCAGCCTCGCGTGAAACGGGAAGAATTGTAGAGAGCATTCTTAATCCTACAGGTAGCAATTTAGGGGTGGGCAAACGGTTCGGTAAACCCGAATCGAACCGAAATCGAATTAAAATGACCGAAACTAAAATAATGCTATTTGATTCTGAAAGAAAATATGGATATTTCGGAAATCTTGGTTCTTTCAATTGAACCAAAATTTCGAATTATCGATCGAAAAATAGACATACTATAATTACAAGCTCCAAATGTTGGTTTTTTTATGCTTGTTGTTTTTAGACTTAAATATTTGAAATATTTTATGACTTATGTGTTGAAAAGTTTGATTTTATCATTGATGATGCATATAATTGCATATTTATTGTTTATATTAGGGTGAAAAATACTTTAGGGTTAATTGCAAGGATGGTCACTGAGTTTACTAAAACCGTTCATGTTTGGTCACTGCAAATATTTAATTCCATTCATGGTCACTAAGATTAGTTCAATAGTTCAAGTCTGGTCACTCTCCGTTAGTCTCCGCTAGTTTTTGTTGATGTGGCAGTCAACTATTATAGTTGACCGTTAAATGAGTGACGTGGCCATTAAAAAAATAATAAAATTTAAATATTTACAATTTCCACCTCATTTTACAACTATTAAAAATAAAAATAAAACTTACCTCCTCCCCAATGCCGTCGCCACCACGGATCTCCGATTCAGCCTCCTTTCCTCCAACTCTTCCCCGCGTTCACGCTCAACGCCAACTCCTCCTATTCTTGAATCAAATCTGGGGTTTTGCTTGACAAAGGTTGGTCTCCATCACAGAAGCCAGATTCGGTTTGTCTCCATAAGCCGACAAGGGGTTGTCTCCATCACAAAAATCGAGGGCGGAATTCTTATTCTGTGCATCTCAAAACCCAGTCACGATTCTCCATCCCTCTCCGACGAGGACAGCGATGACAATAAGTCCCGGACTCCAAAAAGCCACCGCCACACTATATAAACATACTTGATACTCCTGGCCGGACTCAATAGCTATCTATATACCTAAACCTGCCTTTCTCCCTGTCTCCCCAAACTTTAGGGGTGAAAGCTTGTCCCTGAAGACCCACTGACCCGTCCCGACCCGTCCCGTCCCTAAGGGTCGGGACGGGTCAGTTTGTCTACAGGGACAAATTAGGGACGGGTCATTTGTTGACCCTGTAAGGGTCGGGACAACTTAGGGACGGGTCACATTTTGACCCTGTGACCCTTAGCAACAACAAATATCTCATATTTCATTGGACCTTTTTGTAAAGTTTTAAAAGTTTAGGTACTAATTTGTAAAAATAAAAAAATTTGGGTACCAAAACGTAATTTTACCATCAAAATTTATGGACTTATTTGTAAAAAAAATAAAATTTAGGTACTAAATTGTAAGAAAAAATAATTTTGGGTACCAAAACGTAATTTGTAAAAAAAGTAGTGTGTTGATTAGGGTCGACCCACTGACCCGGCCCGTCCCGTCCCGTCCCAACCCTTGAGGGTCAGACAGGGTCAAGAAGGAGATAGGGACAAGACGGGACGGTTATACATCTTGACCCTTCAGGGACGGGTCAGACAGGGACGGGACAGACAAATTTTCAGCCCTACCCCAAACTAGCTAGAACCCACTCGCTCGGTAGTCACTCCCTATCTTTCTATAGTTCCAATATTTGATATGGAAGCGGAGCAAGCCACCAAAATGAGCATTAACACAGAAGAAGCAAAGCCCCATCAACCCGCAAAGAAGCCAAACCACATCAAGCTATTCCTCTTGCTCTTGAACTGCCTGTTCCTCACAGTCGGCCAGGTGGCGGGCCCGTTGCTTTCCCGGATGTACTTCCTCCACGGCGGCAAAAAGCGGTGGCTCTCCGCTTGGACCGTCACCGCGGGCTTCCCAATCTTGATCTTCCCCATCGCCATAGACTGGGGTTTCTAGTAGCGATTTGAAAGGGGGTTTTGCGAGTTGCGACTGGGTTTCTGCAGCGCATCAATGGCGCTGGTCTTTGCGTCCGGGACTTATTGTCATCGCCGTCCTCGTCGAGAGGGATGGAGAATCGTGACTGGGTTTTATTTTTATTTTTAATAGTTGCAAAATAAGGTGGAAATTATAAATATTTAAATTTTATTATTTTATTTTTTTTTAATGGCCACGTCACTCATTTAACGGTCAACTATAATAGTTGACTGCCACATTAGCAAAAACTAACAGAGACTAACGGAGAGTGACCAAACTTGAACTATTGAACAAATCTTAGTGACCATGAATGGAATTAAATATTTGCAGTGACCAAACATGAACGGTTTTAGTAAACCCAGTGACCATCCTTGCAATTAACCCAAATACTTTAAAAGTGAGAAGACACAAATTCGGTTTTGTGTGAAAAACCGACCGAACCGAATTATAATTTTGTTCCAATTCGGTTTGAGATTGGGGAGAATTCGGGGACCCGGTATTCATAATTTCGGCTCGGTCGAAACTGAACCGACCGAGTGCCCACCTCTAGTAGCATCAGTCAGGTGACCGGTATAGGAAAATGCAGGAATTGATGACCACACCGATAACCAGTTATAATCATGGTTCAGGAAACAGTAAGGACATCATACTAGATTTCTTTCCGGTATGACTGTGGTTCAATCGTTTCATACGGGTAAATATAGTTTTTAATAAAAAAATATTTTGTCAAAAAAATCGTACAGGCAAAATCAAGATATCATTTCGGAGTAATACTGGATTGTACCAGAAATACCGGACAATAAATAGTAAATAATCAAATAATAACACACAAACTAACTAGTAAGGCCCATGGACTTCTTAAAAAATAGGCCATGGACAGCCATGGAGAAACCCTAGGCGCCCATCTCTCTCTCCCTCTGTATCCAGAAATCTTCTCTCTTCTCTCCCCTCTCTCGTTCCGAAAACTAAAATTAAACCCAAAATCCATCCTTCTTGAGGGATCGGCGCGTCTGAGGAGGAGAGAAGAGGAGTGGCGGAGCAGGGATCGACTCGACATATCGACTGTGGGCCGCCACTCGCCAGAGAAAAAGAGAATAGGAACGGCGGAGTGGGGATCGACTCGCCCTCCCGCCTCGCCGGTCGCGGGTCGCCAGAGGGGGAGGAGAAGAGAAGAGGAGCGACATGACTGGGGAAGAAGGAAACGATGATGGAGAGTCCTGATTCGCTCGTTCGATTAGGGATTAGCGTTTTGGCTTTGCTGTTTGGATGTCGATTTTCCTTTCGTTAAAAAAAATTTAAGTGCTTAAACGGTCATGTTTTCCTTTAAATAAGCCTACCGCCGATTAGAACAAAACCGGGCATTGTCTTTTTGTACCGGTTAAACCGTAAAAACAGGTCAGCATGGTAAAAAGAACACCAGAAGCCTACCGTAACGTTCCTGGTCCAGTTTTCGACTTTTTCAGTTGAACCGGCCAGTACAATCCGATTTCCTGGTCCATGGTTATAATAAACTTGGTCATCAATGCACTGGCAGGTTATGTAGAGACAACCGAGTTTTTCTTGGTTAAAACCACCTAAGCCTACATATCGTTTCTTGGGTTATTGCTGGTTGCTGTCCTAGGTTCTGCCAGTGCCGAAGATTTTGGATTATCAAACGATATTCCCACGGGAAGGGGCTGAAAGTTTGGTACCGCTATTTGGAATATACTTAATATCGTATAGAACTTATGACTATTTGGTATTATCAAATATCATTTTATTTTTTAGGGATTGATATTCATTATGGGTTGCTATTCGGTATTTGGGATTTGGATTATCGATTGTGATTCATCCATATACATCCAACAAATTACATACATAATCTCATGGTTTAGGGTTTATCGATTTTGATAATTATGGGTTAATTGCATTGTTGGTCATTGAGATTACAAAAGAAGTTTATGTTTGGTCACTAGAAATATTTAAATCAAATCTTGGTCACCCAAATTAGTTAAATGGTTCAAGTTTGGTCACTCTCCGTCCAACTCCGTTAAATTTGTCTGATGTGGCAGCCAACCCTCAAAGTTGACCGTTAAGTCAGTGACGTGGCAATTAAAAAATAATAAATAAAATAAATTTTAATCTTCTACCATTTCCAACTCATTTTCACAATAAAGTAAAATAAATAAAAAAATATTATAATTACATATTGAAAAGGGACGGACTGTCTGCACTGAACGAGTTATCTTTCCTGGCCGAGTTCACTCAGCGAGTCGAACACCAAATCCTCGAGCCTCGGCTTGAGAAGCGTCTTGTAACTACTCATCGCTCGATTGCTTAAGGATCTGCGATTTCCTGTGCCTCTTGCATCGCCGGCCTCCTAACCAATCGCGTGCCAACGTACGGTTTCCGAATGCGCATTACTCAAATTCCATTCTATATCCGCCTGTCCCTGAGCAATTCTCTCACTTTTTGTTCGTAGACGGAAGAGTGCAGTGGTCCCAAGTCAGGCTGCCGACTGTTCCGGCACCAGATCAAGCTGTTCCCTCCGTCTCTCGCTTTGTGCCTATGGATGAATTCAAAAGCAACCTCGGTCACCGACGAAAGTATTATCTGAGAAAGAAGTGCAGACCAGGACATGCTTCTCTTTTCCTGTTTTCTCCACCGCCTCTGAATATCGGATCTTACTCGCTCATTCGACCATGGAACACTGTCCGCCCATGGAACGTGACCCAAGTGAGCGGCCTCCTCCTGTTAGAAACCGAACAGAAAATTTAGGGTTACCGATCTGGCTGAGTAGCGGACTAGGTCGCTCTCTTTAAGACGTTCGCGGCACTGCCTCGTATTGCGCACAACAGATTATCAGCCGGTCGCCTCCAGGATAAAACAGTCATTCGAATTTTGATGCTCATCGGTTTTGTGCGAAAAACCGGAGCTCTATAAATTCACTCGCTCTCGTGTTTCTGCTCTTCTGAGGTGTGTTTAGAGGGTCTGGGGCGTCTCCTATTTATAGGAGCAAAAAACCCAGAATATTCCCTCTTTCTTTGGGAATAAGTCACATTTTAATTAGGGAGATAATTACTCCCATAATTAAAATATATTATATTAAGATAATTAATTCTAATTATCTCCATAATCTTCTTTTATTAATTATCCTTCTATTTTCGTATATATA